TGATTGATTTATTTAATTTCCGACTAATTAAAAATTTACGTCCGATCCATTGAGTGAGGTGCTTGAGAACGGCCTTAGACAATCCAAATTTGTCTACACTCTGAAGATCTCTAAGAACTTTAGTTCGAATCTCCTTTGGCACTTTCCCTTTACACTTCATTGCAAGGTGAGTTTCCATATCATGGGCTCTTCCCCTAGTCTATAATGTAGAACAATACCTGCAATTCGCCCCTTTATGATTTCCTTTTCCATTGTCAATTATATCATACTTATCTCAAATATCTGCTAGTGGCCATTCTCTATTATTTGATACATTATATGAAGATTGTGTCGTTACAACTGAATCAGTTTCACTAGCCATTAAAGAGTTATTTTCATTTATAGTACTACTCGCATCAGTGTGTTCCATTATATATATATATGAAATAAAAGACAGAAACTGGAAAAGCAGGTTGTTTTATTTTTTTGGGGATTATTTAATTAAAAAAAAAGGGTTATGAGTTAAACTAATTTCAAGGATTTTATTTTTTATTTTTCGTTTTTTAAAAAAAAGCAATCTGTATATTCACTAGTTCTATTTTTATTTAAAAAAAAAAAGCTGAAATAACTATCCAGTGTTAAATAATGATAACAATAACGATATTGTTATATTGTTATCATAAATGGTTGTATTCAAGACCCTTGTCTTTACATTCTAGCAATTTTAAAATTTGATTTAGTATATGGCTGAGGCTTACATCAGTAAGAGAAAATTTAAGAGCATATTCATTTTGTATTTGAAAAAAAAAATTTTTTAATTAATATAGATCTCCTGGTTCATGTCCGAGTATAGTACAATTTATAAGTAGAGTTTGGATCTAAATTTTATAAATGTATGTATGTACATACAAAAATATTTGATATACTCTTGTTTTGTTATATCCGAATTTAGATTAATTCTGAAGAAAATTGGATTTAGATTATGGTTGAACTTAGTTCCAAACTCTACTTTGGAGGTTTGTATACAACTACTTTATGGTATGGTGTGAGAAATTTAAAAACCTCAATCACTTTATATAGATTAAAAATCATCTAATATATTGCAGATAAGCAAAATCAATAGTGGCTTATTTAAGTTTCAGCAGTATGTATAGCAGAGCCAGTGGATTTTAGTAGCATCTAAAATAGCGCTATTTTTTAGCAAACTAGCTAGCAACATTGTTTGTGCCAAGATGTGAAATTAGCTAAGCATGTGACTATTCCTTTTGTTCTTTGCAATTATATGCATGTTGTAAATGATAACTAGTGAACTTACTAAAATGATAGATTAAGAACTCATCAAAGAACATAATGCATAGAATACTTGCTATTAAATATGCAAAATTATTGTTATTGAGATAGATACTGTAATTTTAAAAAAAAATTTTAATTGCCAGTTTATACATTGTTTTTATATGGGGAAATTAAGGTTCTTCTGTATATACATATATATGTATATACATACTCTGTTTAGCTACTATATGCGACACATTTGCATGGTTGTAGTATTCAAAAAGGAAATACTGCTGTTTTTGATAAATGAATTTTGTGAATCATATGATTACAACAATGACAATATGCAGGATTCATAGAATTCACAAAAGTTCATCTATTACACTAATTCGAAAATAGTGATAAAACATGCAAGTGATTCTGTTGCAGTTTTCTTTTTTGAAATTTTCTTTTTTTATTGACAAATAGATAATTCTGAGTAATCTATTTCAATAAATAGAATAAATATATTTTTTCTGGAGATTTTTATATATAACTCTCAAGTGCGCCATAATACCCGACTCTCTTTTACAAGATCCGGGTCTGTTTAATTTCACCAATTTTCAAATCTTTAGTAGACACAGGTCTAGTATTTGTCTAGAGATTACATCATAAAAAGAAAAATTTTGATTTATAGATTTATAATAGACATTCTAACTATTTGAAAAAACCTATATTTGATTAATGAAGATTCTGTGATTCACACCAGGGCTAAAACAACATATATTAAATTCCAGTCATCCAAAGTATCGCTCTTGATTCATAATTGTTGCAATTAAAGAACAATAATAAATAAAAGAAAATTCTATTAGCTATATATTGCTTTAGTATATAATATGAATTTTAATTTAGATAGATCAAAAAAGACATTTTGAAGAACTGGAATTCATTATATGTTTGTTTTAGCCTTGGTTTGGTTCATAGTGAGACATTTATCTGATTGGCTGATGTAAATCAATTGTCTAGGTAACTTATTTATATACTTTAAAGTAATTTTTTGGAATATAACATTTTACTAATAAAAATCACTATAAAAGCCATTTTTCACATATTGTACGTATAAAAATAATTAGAAATAATTAGTAACTCCGAGAACTTTACTTAGAATACAAAGTATACTACTGTTTATTAGACCATATTGTAAAGTGAAGGTAACTGGAAACATTTTCGTCTAAAGCTATTTTATTATGTTAGATTTAGATAAATTTTTACTTTTAACTGATAGGTACAAGCTTTTTTGTTTCGTCTTTTAGTACTGTAGTATTAATAAAATTATATATTTTGATTGGTTAATTATCACGGGCAATTATGAGTAGATCCACCAAAATTAACCAATCATATAAATGTCTTTCTATAACGGTATTAAATTTTGTAATGCAAATTTGATAGTTGCACTAATTTACTAATTTGGACAATAAGTAACTATTTGAGATTTGGGATAAGATTGGGATTTGGGATGGAATTTGGGATTTGGGTTAGGGTTTGGGATTTGGGTTAGGATTTGGGATTTGGGATTTGGGTTGGGATTTGGAATTTGGGATTGGGATTAGAATTTGTCCAGTTTTGCTATATGGGATTTTTAAATATAGATGGACAATCCTATTTGTCCAGGTTTGTCCATGGCCAAATCCCAAATTCCATAGGTTTTGCTGACATGTATAATGGTAGGCTACTGTAGAAATTACTTCTAGATTTTGAAAAAATAATAAAAATTAACTTTTTTAAAATTTTACTCGAAAATAAGCTACTTCCATAATTTTTGTATAACTTTTTGGCCAAAAAAAGGTAGCTTATTTTCAGAAACCTACAGTAATAGTTGTTATAGCAGGTCACATTGAATAATACTTAGGTATATCTAATAAGTTTTTATTAGATTAGAACTATTTACTATATGAAAAACATATATACTTTGTTATAGTAGATTTATATAGCAGTTTACAATAATAAAAGAAATGCCTATTTATACTATAGTATTTGCTATTTTTACTATAATTTATACAAAATTTTTTATTTTTTTTATTTTTAGTAAAATTAATTTTTTAAAAATTAATCTTTCTTCTAGTTCTAAGTAAACTTGTAGAGAGAATTTTTCTGGCTCTAATAGTAGTTAGATTATTAAAATTGGCCTAGTGGATTCCAAGTTAAAGATACAAATATAAAGATCTACAAATTCACTATTACACAAAATATTATAGTCTATAATACTTATATGCATACTTTTATCCAAATAACTTGGAATCTACCAGACCAATTTTAATGATCTAAACTACTATTAGAATCAGAAAAAGCTCTTCTACAATTTTACTTTTTTTTTTTTTTTTTAATATTTAAGGTGAAACCTTGCTCTTATCTTTATTAAACTTAATGAAAACTTTTTACATGAC